CAGGCGAGACTGGCTGGATCACCTCAGGTCAGGGCGTAGCTGAGCCCAGAGTTGCGAGGACGTTTCAGGCTCAGGCCAGACTGGCTGGACCACCTCAGCCCACGGCAGATCTGAGCCCAGTATTCCGAGGATGTCTCAGGCGTCGTCGTCGTCGACGCCATCATCGTCGTCATCGTCGTCGTCGTCGTCGTCATCGTCGTCCGTCTCCTCCTGCCATAGCAGGCCAAGAATGCTACGTAGATACAATCATGCGATACATATCACACGGAACGTGCCCCGGGGCCAGAAAACGGCCCCGGGGCCAGAAAACGGCCCCGAAGAATACAATCCGAGGCCGAGTGTCAACCAAAACAGGCGAGACCATTTTTTGATGAGAAATTGCTGCTCAAGGGAGAGAGAGAGAGAGAAAGAGAGAGAGGCGGAATCTAACACACGCACACACAACACGCACACACACACACACACAAGCGCAGTCAACCCAAGCTCCCGTTCGTCCCGTGTCGCGTTCACGCTGCAGTGCTGCCCGCATCGTCATCTACTCAAACTGAATACCACCCTCCTCTCTCCCCCGCAGTTGCGGGAACCGCTCGCAACGACCCGGACAACAAAGAAAACACAAGACCCCATTTGGGGTCGGCGGCAGAGGCGGCAGCCTTTAAATAACCCATTGGTTGTATCAACAACTACACACAACAACAGAAGGCGGCCCTCGCGCGGCCCCCGCGACGCCCGAAGGCAAGGCCAACTGGCCCGAAGACCGAAGCAGCGCAAACGAGCGCAAATGCTAAAATCAATGCCAAGCCCGGGGCCACCACCAGCACGAGGAGCCATGAAGGGTCATCCTGGCGCTTCGGCTCCTCAGCGTCCCCCATGTTCACATCGGGAAGGCATCGTGGACCTCCTCGCTCAAGGTGGCACCCCTGGTGACGGTGGCGCCCGCGGTGGCGCTGGCAGTGTCTTTTCTGCACCCAACGGGGTGGTTTCGACCGTGAGGTCTGCCCGCTCGCGCTTGCTGACCGCCGAATCCATGGCCATGGGGTGCAACGCATATGTAGGGCCTTCCTGGAGCGACTTGCTCCCCTCATGCGTCGGCTGTGCGTCGGCTCGAATCGGGCTCGAGCCGAACTCAGCTCGAGTCGAACCGAGTCGGGCTGGAATCGAACCAGAGTCAAACCAGAGTCGAACAGAACCGCCAGATGGAAGGTGCGCCACGAAAAAGCCCCCAAAGAAAACATCTCTTGGGGGGGTCCGCCCGTGAAGCCTGCCTGCACGCCCAAGCGCAGCGTCTACAGGCCAGAGGCGCACCGAACCATCTGGGGCATTCCTCCTGGAGCGCGCTGGGCCTCGCGGCACCCGAACTAAAAGACGCCGCGCCGTCGGTGGCGCGAGGGGACATGGGGGGCGTTCCCAGATGTCGCCGCCCCGATGCATCCCCTACTTTCAACTCGGGAAGGCTTCTCATGGATCTCCTCTCTGAGCGCGACGGACCTCGCGGCACCCGCGCACTCAAGGACACCACGCCATCGCCAGCGCGAGGAGACATAGGGGTGTTCCCAGTTGTCGCCACTCCGATGCATCCCCTACCCTCCGCTCGAGGAGCCCTCATGGACCTCTTCGCTGAATGTGGCCACCCTTGATAGTGGCGACATTCCTGGTGGCGTTGGCGTCGCTCTTCCTCGAAAAAGGCAAGTGGGGTTTCATGCTCGGTCTGGGTGCCTTCCTGGGGCCATTTTTTCCTTCGGGCACAGCTCTGCTGCCGACCTAGCCCAGTCGATCAAGCTGGTCAAGACTTGCGGCCGGTCTCGGCGGGGTGGCGCCCTTCGAAAATCTCAATGACCATTCGCAAGCATGCGCGGCCAACTGGCTCAAGACGGCCTCTTGCGTCCCTGTCGCCGAACACCCCCGTGCACAGGCCCCCCAGAGGCTTGCATCGCCCCTGCTCATCGCTGGAGAACCCTCCGCATTTCACACAACAACAATATCCGAAAGCAACCCTCAGGGCGCGCCCTTGGTCGCCAGTGGCAGCCTCGCCGGCCCCTAGCAAGCCGAAAAACTCGAGGTCGTCCGCGGCTATTGCCGCCGCGGCCACAAGGGCCAGCCACGCGGCGGCAGACGAGGCGCGGCCCTCTGGCGGAACCGCGCCACTGCGATCCAAGTCCCCTGGCTGCGCCTTGCACGAGACGCTCCGGAACGCAGCCGCCGGCTTGACGCCTTCCTCCGCGTCGCGCCGACTGCGGGCCACCTCGCAGCCAGCGCTGCCGACCCAGAGGACCGCGCCGTTGAGGGTGGGGCGGCGCGGCTCCCAACGCGCCCGCGTGGCCGGCGGGGCGCGCGGCCCCGCCGCGCGCACCGCGGCGCAGCGGTCGGCTGCCAGGTAGCCGCGCCGCCCGCGCCGAGACGCCTGCCCGCGCGCGAGGTCCCGCGCCGTCGCGCGCGCGCGCTGCGATCTCGGAGACGGCCAGCCCTTCGGGCCCATAGCCGTCGAAATCGGCGATGGCGGCCCAGACACCCCCCAGAGACGAGCCCAACCGTTGGGCGCGAGGCAGGTCGCCGCGGGCCCGCGCTCGTAGAGCCCTTCGACGACGTAGGCCGAGTCACAGTGAACGACCAGAGGCGGCAGCGCGCGCCGCAACGCCGGCAGGATATCCAGAGGCTCGCCCCCGCCCGCGTCTTGGATCAGGCCCTGCAGCCGAGCTGCTAACACATTGCAGGCCAGTGGGGCACCGGGTTGGTCCGCTCGGGCCCTGGCGGCAAGGCGATGACCGCGCGCCCTGCCGCGGTCAAGTTGGCTGTCTCCACGTCGAGGCGGAGCCGTCCACGCGCGCGCCGCCGCCGAAGCAAGGGTCGGCACCATCGACCAGCCATCGAACATCATGCAGGACGTCTCCGCAGCTGGGCGCGCAGCGGAGTAGCGCCTCGGCCTGGAGCAGCCTGCTCACCAGCGCCGTGCTGTCGCTGTCGGTGTCGCTGTCGCTGTCGCCGTGCGCGCGCAGCCCCGCCACGGCCGAGGGCAGGTCGAGGCCCTCCCAGCCGTCGCGGCACTCGACGCGCCAGTGCCAGAGCGGCCCCGCGCCCCGAGCGCAGGGGCTCAGCGCGAGGCACGGCCGCGCCGCGTGCCTGCCGGACCCCTCGACTCAAGCACCCAAAACCCCAAGACTCCAACACCCAGGACCCGGCCCCCAGACTCCAACACCCTGGCCCGCGCCCTCAAGGCAACGTCCGCCAGCGAAGGAACGAAGCGAACGAAGGCAGCGGCGGCGCGCCCAAGGACGGCCAAGGGAGCCCTGCTTGGCCGACGTCCTCAGGGCCACGCCCGCCCGCAAATTGAACGCATGGCGAGGACGAGGGAGACGCGCCGAAGGACGGCCAAAGGTACCCTGGTTGCCCGCGTCCTTAGAACTGCCCCCCATGGGAACGCCCCGCCGCGCAGCCGAGGGACGGCGCCCGACCCAAGGGTATCCTGAGAGGCTGGCCAATGAACACTGCAAAGGACGGGTCGCCTGGGCAGAGGCAGGAAGGGACCCAAGGGTACCCTAGAGAAGGGCGCGCGTCCTTATCATGCGCGTTGACTGTAGGCCCCCAATGACCCCCCAAGGCCCCCAATAGACCCAAGGAGGCCCCCAAGGACCTCCAAAACGTTCCCAGGAGGCTCCCAGGAGGCCCCAAGAGTGGTCACAGAAGTTTCCAAGAGGCCTCCTCCTGACGTTCCTTTTTCTCCTGTTTCCTCCCTCTGCTCCTCGTCCTCCTCTTCCTCCCCCACGTGTTCCCTGAGGGGCTTCCACAACGGCTGGGGGAACGCATGGTCTAGACTGGCCAAACGTTGCCCAAACGTTCTGGACTCATAGGCGCTAACATTCAGGGGGCGGCGGTGATTCGCCGTAGGCGTCTTCGACAGATCAGTCACCATGGTCCCATCCATCCCCCTTCGCGCGGCGTCGCAGGCACGCCCACCAGGAGTCGGCGCGCCTGGGGCAGCGGGAGCGGGAGAGGGGAGCTCCTTGTCCCGAGGAGGTCGCGGCCACTCTTCCCTGTTGCAGGTCAACATCCAGTCGTCGAGCTGCCGCGCCGACAAGCCAGACGGAGAAAAAACGGCATGAGAATTGACGATCGGAGCTCCGCGCGGATTTCTGGGATCGGCGCTGGACCCCATTCCTTGGCGCGCGGAGCGCGCCAGGGGCGCCGCAAGGGGGGCCCAGCGCAGATCCGAGAAAACTGCGCGGAGCTCCAATAATCTATGTTTATGCATGTTTTTTCCTCGACGAGCTCTGCGAGACTTTTTCACACCCTGTAACTTCAACTGCGCGCGTAGAATTGGCGCACGGAAAACGGAGCTCCAGAGGACGAGAATGATCAAGTCGCCTGGGGAGGAGGAGAAGACACGCTCCAGGCCTTCCTCGCCTCCCTCTCTACCGGCGGCGCGCCAGGGGGCATTCGAAAAAAGGTGGCGGGCGTCTCAGAAAACCATGACAAAATTAGACAGACCCAGAATTTGGAAGCGCCCGAAATGACAAGAATAGTTGCGATGCCCAACGTCAAATGTGGTCGAAAACCGACAGCGGCCGTGGGGACATCGACAGCGAGTCCAGCTCAAAACGGTCAGGAACTGCTGGCGGTCTGCGTCCCAATTCTTTCCGTACCCACTTCTTCCCGACTGAAACAACAAACAATGACATAAACAGAAAGCTTTGGAGGTCCGCGCGGACTTTCTGGATCGGCGCTGGACCCCCCTCTTGGCGAGGGGGGCGCGCCAGGTGCGGCGCTGGAGGCGCCGACAGGGGGCTCCAGCGCCGATCCGAAACATCCGCGCGGACCTCTGGAAGCTTTGTGCTTATGTGATTGTTTGTTCCCCGATTCTATCGTCCCGACAGCAGTCCCGAGAAGGTCTTTCACAGGCCAGGCGGGGAGACCCCCTGCCTCTGCCCGCTGAAGCCCCCCTCCTCTGGGCCTCTGGGAGGGCCAACCCGACGCACCACCCGCCGCCGCGCTGGGGCGCGCCGGTCCTGCTCGTCGATCGAGAAGCGGTGGTTGTCGAAGCACACCAGGCAAGTGTCCGAGACGAAGGCGCCGTGCATGGTGTAAGTGGTCTCTCCGTCGTGGGCGTGCTCCTGCGCCGGCTGCGAGTTCAGTGCCAATCGCCGGGCGGAATGATTTTCAGAGACCTATGAAACTTGTGGCGTCCATAACCCGGATAGCGGGGCAGTCCAGCCCGCATGAAAGCCTCTGGGAAACGCCTGCGAAGGCGCCTGACCTAATACCGGGAGGGCTTGCAAGCTCGAGAAAAGAGCTTCGCACGAACTTCCGAAGCGCTTCGCGAAGAACTGCGAAGATTCTGGGGCGGCGCCCGAAAGAGCTCCCAGGCTACAAGGCTCCCAAGAGTGCCCGAAGAGGCGCCCAGGAGGCCCTAAGATGCCCTTAAGAGGTCCCCAAGAGGTCCCCAAGAGGCCCCCAAGAAACCCCAAGAGGCACCCAGCGGCCTCCCGAGGCACCCAAGACGCACCAGGATGCCCCTGGGGCCGCCAAGAGCCCCCCCCAAGACGCCCCAAGAAACTCTCGAGACATCCGAAGAGACTCCGATAGGCATCCAAAATCCAAGATGCCTCTGGCCTTTCTGGTCGCTCTCCTCCTCCGCTTGCTTATCCGCTCATTCCTCCTCCTTCCTCCTCCCTCCCCCCCTTCCACCTCTTCCTACGTACTCCCCCCCTTCCCCCTCCTCCTCCTCCTCCTCCTCCTCCTCCTCCTCCTCTTCCGATTCCTCCTCCATCCTCCCCCTCCTGGGATATGACGGCTTCCCAGCCCTTCATTCCACTGCATGCTCCTCCACATCCCTGATCAAGGCAACTTGCCTGGGCATCGTTTCTGGATGGGCTGGTGGAATCTTTTTTGATCGCGAGCGCACCGGAAGACGCCGGGCGCCGTCAGAACGAAGCGTCGATGCAACAGCCTAAATTAGCGATAAAGGCTGGTGGAGTTACGCGAAGCGGCTAGAATTTTGGCTGTCATCCCTCCCACATTTCCCCTACTCTGGGGTCCAATATCCCATTGAGTTGAGGGGGGGGCGAGCTCGTCAACGCACCGCTGGGCTGGGACCCTCGGAGCCTCAAACTCAACCATCCATGGCCGCCAAGATACCCAAGATGCTTCCTGAGGTGGCTAAAAATGGCTCCAACACAAGAGCGCCCTGCAGATTTTCTGCAAGAGGACCCCCAAGGAGGTAGCAAGAGGCATAAATCATTGACTTCTGGGTACTCGCCTTTGCGGGCGTCTTCAAACCCAACGCAGCGCGAGAGGCCCCTCATACTGGTCCAAGAGGCCCCCAAGAAGGCCCAAGACGGCCCAAGAGGCCCCCAAGACGGCAAAGAAACCTTCAAAAGGACCCAAGAGGGGCCGAAAAGATGGCCAACCGAGGGACCCCTCCCCACAATATGGCTCCCGATGGACCCCCTAGCCCCCAGAGGGCCCCAATAAGCCTCCCGGATCGTTGAACAAATTCCTAGAGGCCGCCAAAAAGCCCCGCAACAGACGCGGAGCAATAGGAGGACGAAAAAGCAACAACTGCATCCAGTCAGCACGACGGGACGTGTCCAACAACACATAAGACATCGGCAGCCGCATATCTCCTCTTCTGGGTGTCGGCGGCATGTTTGTTAACCTCTTGAACTCCGCGTCCTGACTGCAACGAAGTGTCCCGGCAGTGCAAAAGGACGGGTGAGTGTATGTGACGTAAGAGCCAAGCCACGATGCGTCAAGGAAACCCGATTGCGAGACATTGCGATGTTATCCTTTGCAAAGCAGCCCCCACTAATCCCTCCCCAGCGCCCCCGCCGAGTCGCCGACCTGTTTCGTGTCGCGTTGCACTCTCATGCAAAACGTACCAGAAAGAATTGAAACTCTATGATGTTGGCCTCTTGGGCTTCCTACGGGTCCAAGAGGGCCTTGAGACGGCAAAAGAAGGCTTCAAGACTGGTCAAGACGGCTCCAAGTCGGCCCAAGATGGGCCCAAGAGAACCCAAGAGGCCCCAAAGACTGCCCCAGAGGGCCCAAAGGGGACCACCACGAGCGCCTCCAGATGCCAGAAGCATGTTTGTGCTGTAGGTTTGTGAAACATGTGTGCGTTCTCGCATTGTTGGACTCTCGGGGGCTCATGACGGCCCACGCAGCCTCCCAGATAGCCCCCATACGGCCTAAGCGGGCCCCAAGACGGCTCAAGAGCACCCCAAGATGGCCCAAAGAGGCCCACAAGACTGTCTGCGAGGCCATCAAGACGGCCCAGAATGACACCAAGAGAGCCCCCTGGCGGCCTCGAGGGGCCCCCAAGACGGCCTCCGACGAGGCCAGACAGCGCAACAGCGCCCCAAGACGGCCCAAGACACCCCAAAGAGGCCCTCAAGAGGCTGCCTCAAAGGCCCCCAAGAGGCCTCAAGAGGCCCCCAAGAAGCATCCAAGGGGCCCACAAAAAGCTCCCAAGTGTCTCTCCAACGACTGGACTGTGCGTGGTCTGGACGTGCACCCTGCGATGCGAGAGGAATGTTTTGTACTGCACGTACGGCGAACCAGACGGCACAATTACCAGATTGGAAAGAGATGATATGCGATATCGTAAAACAAAAACCGTACGGGAGACCATCCGGGAACCCATACGGGATACCAGCTGGGTGACCACACAGGAACCCATACGGAAGACATTAGGGTAGACCACGGGAAACTAGACGGGAGACCATATTATTGCAGACCATGCGCGAGACAAAGCAAAAAACTTCACGGGAAACCTTACGGGACACCAGACGGGAGACCATACGGAAACACATGCTGGAGACCGCACAGGAGACCATGAAGTCACCGATTGAGGGGCAATGGGAAGCGTCCTCAACCCCTCTTACGTACACCCGCTCTGGGGGATCCCATCTACTCAGATCGAGACGGAAGGTGTGAGAGGCTTTTCCGTTTGAGTCGTCGTCGCCGCTCCTCCTCTTGACGCTTTCTCGTTTGAGTCGTCGTCGTCGCCGTCGCCGCCGTCGCTCCATCCCATGTCCAGACGTAAATCGAGCGACATCTTAATCGAGTCGAAGGGAAGCCCTTTCCCTTTGAACCCTCCCCCGCCTGGGAAGGGTGGGGGGGGTGCAGGGGCGGCGGGGGTGGTGTCAGGGGAGGCCCGGGGGTTGTGACCCTCCCCCCCCCCGGGGAGGGAGCACCCCTTCCTCGGAGAATCTTTCCCCTTCGGTTTCTTCCTCCCAGAGGTTTCGATCTCACTCGCGCCGCGGCTTGCTCCAAGAGGGCCCCAAATACCCTCAAGACTGCCTTGACGCCCAGGACGTCTCAAGAGGGCTCCCGAAGGAACCCTAAGAGGACCCCGAAAGGCGAAAATCATGGATTTCCATTTTCAATGTTTTTCCGATCCTCGCCTTCTCGTCGTCGTCGCCGCCGCCGCCGTCGCAGTTACCGTCGTCGTTGTCGTCGTCGTCGTTTTTCCCCTTCAGGGTCGGCTACCCCAGCCGTGAGGCCTCCGCAATACAAAATGAAGTGGGTGTTTAATACTGAGGCGAAAGCTCACGTGCACCCTCTGAAGCAACGCATCGCCTTCACCAACGTCGCCGCCACTTAACATCGTCGGTTGGAAGCCGCCTTGCGCCCCCCTCGCTCCTCGTAGTACATGTCGTGGTCCCATCGAGCGTACGGTATCTCGGCTCGCCCCGGCAAACGGGTGATGACGACGACGTGGGGGCGGAGTCGGAAAAAAGGGGGAGGGGAGATGCAAATTGGGGAGCGCAGGGAAGAGAGAACATGATCCCCTAGTGCAAGACCCTTTGTGGATGAATTCGGGGGTTCGAGTGTGGTGGAGGGGGTACGGAAGATGAGAAGGAGGGAGCAAAGAGGGGGGATGGAAGGGGAAGGGAAAACCCCTCCCCATTCCTCCTCCCCGCCCCCTCGCCCCTCTCAAGCCACTTTGGCCCAAGCATTTTGCCTGGGCAAAGGCGTCCGCCTCATACGTGGTGCTTGAGTGGCACCCGCGGCTGACCAGTCTTTCTGTTAGCACACTTTCGGTCAGTTGCGCGGGTTGGCTAAAGGGACGCATCAGTAGTAGTGAGCCATGGGAGGCAAGGGTAAGAGAACACCTGAGCAGCAGACGTCAGCTGCTTCATCGGTGACAGACCCTTGGACCAAGTGTCATGGCTGTGGCAAGTGTGAATGGAATCGCATCCTCGTCAACCAGGGTGCGAAGTGTGGCAAGTGTTGCATCAAGCTGACTTTGTTCAAGATGAAGGCCAAGGGCGGCAAGGGCAGCGACCAGAGCGGCGCCACTCCGAGAGGAGCCGTGGGTGCTGCCCCCGACGCCGCCGCCGCGCCGGAGGCTGCGCTCCAGGTGGTGCAGGACCCCTCGGCGAAGATCCTCTCGGAGCAGCAGCTGGGACAGGCGCGCGCGGCCGCGACAGCGACGAAGAGGAGGAGGGAGGAGGGAGGAGGGAGGAGGGAGGAGGGAGGAGGAGGAGGAGGAGGAGGAGGAGGAGGAGGAGGAGGAGGAGGAGGAGGAGGAGGAGGAGGAGGAGGAGGAGGAGGGTTCCCGCCGAAGAGGCGGTGCGCTCAGCGTCCGGCGCGGCGCCTCGGCCAAGCGGGAGCGGGCGCGGGGCGCAGGTGGAGCGGTGTGGCTCGCGACCTCCCGCGCGCTCGCGAGCGCGAGGAGGCGACGGCGCGCGCCCCGCAGGCGCGCTGGCTGAGACCAGCAGGCGCACCGCAGCGGCGGCTCTGGCAGAGGCCACGGGGACCTCTCCCGAGCCGGCCGCCGCGCCAGGCGTGCCGCCCATCGGCCTGTCGTGGGACGCCGGCTTCTTCGACGGCATCGACGACCTCGACTGTGGAGACGAGGAGGAGGCCGAGTTGAAGAAGATCGAGCTGGAGCTGAAGGCCGCCGAGGAGACTGTGCAGTCCAAGGCTGAGCAGGTCTCGTAGTGGCGCGACAGGACGAAGGAGCTACAGGAGCGCGTGAAGGAGCGCATGGCGAAGAAGAGGCGTGCTGAATGAGGTGAGCCCCCGCAGGCGGGACCTGGGGCAGGCGCGGCCACGGCGGACGCCAGCCAGGCTGCGGCTGTAGGGGGAGCGCCTCCTCAGGGTGCTTCGGCGGCGGGCGCGGCCCCCACGGCCCCCGCGGCCCAGGCGCCAGGCAGCGGCCTTCCGAGGCCGAGATCAAGATCGAGATGAAGAAACTACGGGCGGCACCGGCGGCAGGGGCGGAGGCAGGAGCCAACGCAGCGCCGCAGGCGGCCACAGGCGGTGCGCGAGCACGCGCGGCGGCTGAGGGCCCCGCGGCTCCCTCAGCCACCGAGCCGCCTAGGCCGCCTGGCGCTGCTGATGCTGGTTCGTCTTCGGAGCTGTGCCGTCTGTTCTACGCGAGCGTGATCTGCCTCGGGCCCAAGGAGTGGAACCACATCAAGCGCGCCCGCTTTCATGGAGCAGTGCCAGTACATAGCTCTCACGGAAACCCATGCTGGATGCCACACTCGTTCGAAGTGGGCGCGGAGTGCCAGAAGGGTGAAGTGGAGGTTCGTCGACAACCCAGCCCGAGCGACGGGGAGAGCGACCTCGAAGGCCACGGAGGGCAAGGCCAGCGAGGGTGGGAAACTCTCTATGTCTCAGGGGCACCGTCATTCGCACACGGTGATCCCGAAGGCATCAGCTGTGCCTAGCTTTTGTGCAGAGGGCTCAGATGGTCTCGACGGCTTCCTTCCAGTCGTCATGCATCTGTCTGGTGTTTCTGTCATCGCCATAGTCGTCTATGCACATCCGTCGCTCGGCTTCGCTGGAGAAAATTTGCAGCGCTGTGCCAATCTAGGCGCTTTCATTCAGAGTGTGCAGCTTCCATGGATCACAGTTGGTGATCTCAACATAGATATCAGTGTATTTCAGCGTTCGGCATTCTTGAAGCGAATCCAGGGATTCACAAAGCGGGCAGATATATATATATATATATATATATATATATAGAGTTCACGTGCGTAGGGAGTGCAGGTGGATCCCATATCGATTTTGTTGATGCGTCAGAAGATTGCCTTCTGTACATACACAGTGTATCCACGATAACCGACGTTCCCTGGGCCCCCACTGTGGTCTTGAGATCCGTTTGCGTGGAGCGGGCCAGCAGTTGATGATGAGGTCTCTGGAAGTTGCCCCTCGCCTTCCCCAACTGCCTCGTCCTTCCCCTCTCCCCATGGCTGGATCCAAGAGTAGTGCTGCCAAGCTCGTCCATCAGCAGAAGGTGCAGGTGACACGAGAGCGTATCACGGCCGACGGTGAATATCTTGTTCAAGATGCTTGTCCTGCTTTCAGGCCACCAGGGTCTGAAGTTTTGGACTCCTCGGCCCCTGGGGCCGTGGCCGAAAACCATCAGGTTCCCCAGGTGGCGGACCCCGTCCTGGATCCCAACATGAAGGGTGCGACCTGGATTTCGGCTTCGAAGAAGAAGATCCCTGGGCCGACGAATCGTGTTTTCAACCAGCCAGTAGAGTTGATCCGCGTCAGAGTGATGCCACGCAGAGTTCCAACAATGATCTGTCCTCTGGAGGGAGGGGGTATCCAAGTTTAGGGAGCCCACAAAGGACGTACGCGCCCAGCTATGTACATGAACACGGCCCCTCGATCCGCGAGACCGGCCGCGTTATACGAACATTTGCGCAATGCGTACTCTCGAAACCAGCGTGGATTCATGTACATGTACGTCCTTCTTTCGCTCCTGAAAGTTGGCGAAAGTTTGGCAGGAGACCCAGCCCCTGCTTCGAGTCCTGGGGAGACGGGCCTCGGCACGGCCGAAGCTCAAGATATTCTCGACCCTGCTGCTGCCGCTGCGGCTCCTGCTCCCCTCCCTTCTTTCCACATCCCCAACTCCACGTATGCAGACCCGTTGGCTTACGTTCCGTGACACTCATACTCTTTTTTTTCGGACGTTTGGTCACCTATCAGAGATTACCTGGCCTACCAGGTTGGCGAGAAGCAAATCCTTCCCATCAGCAGTAAGTTCGCGCGATGGATCGGCTCAGTTGAGCGTGCTATCACGAGCCACCACGGCCCCAGTGCTCCCCAACGTGGAGGGGACCCGTGAGGAGCCCCTCATCGTCTTCGTGGATGCCTCAGGAGGGGCATAAACCCACGACAGCCGTATTCGTAAGGTTGGTCTCGCCATAGCGTGCTTTAGTTGTTTCGGGCTTATCATTTTTGGGCCCCACCTCCTCGGGCCCCTAGTGGGGATCTACCAAACGGTGCCCCGCGGGGAGCTCCAAGCCTTGTCCTGGGCCGTCAGGTTTTCCGCAGGCACCCTTCTGTATGGTGTGGATTGCGCTGAAGTAGCCAGGGGTTGGTACGAAGGCCAGTTCCGATCCCCATCTGGTCCCCAGGCAGATTTGTGGAGATCGATTGTGAAGACTCTAGCCTGTCAGTGTAGGGACCCATCCAGTACTTCCATCATTCAAGTTCCGTCTCATTTGGATGGGAAAGGGCTCGCTGAGCGTCAGTGGCCCAGCTGGTTGATTGAAAGCAATAGTGTGGTCGACGAGCTCGCCAAGGAGGCGGCCCGCTGTGTTCGCGTGCCCCAAGCTGACCGCACCAGGATAGCCCGTGTTGAACACAAGCCTTTGATCAGGAAACGGTTCAGGCCGGCCGCGAGCCTGAGGAGCCCACGCCTGCCCCTCGCTTTGCCCCGCCTCCCCCTTATAGCTGTTGCACGCTTCGCGTCCGCGCACGTCCTGACCGAAAGTGGGGGATCGTGCAGCGTGTGCAAAGGCTCGGCGACTAAGGAATGTTTGGCCGACTGGTTAAAAAAAAGTGAGCGCTTCCAACTCCAATCTGGAGTGAGTATCGAGGGACGTAGGTTGCACCACGCAGGCGGCTGGGTCGAGCCCTCACACGCCCTAATCTATCATCACAGCTTGAAGATTTGGTACTGCGGCACATGGCTTTTTTCGGTCAGTCCCACCTCAGGGGATTAAGCAAGCAGTGCACGCTACCAATCTCCAAGACCCGACGGGAATATCTCGATCGGATCTCCAGGGACTTGTTTCCCAAAGCTGGCAGCTGATCTCTGCCTTAATTGATCCTTACGGGATGGCGGAAATCCTGGAAATCCCACCCCCTCGCCCTTTCTCTCTCTTACTCGCTCCCCCCCTCCCCCACCCCCTCCCGCCTGCATATGCCTTTCCCCATCCACCATTGCCTCGTCCTCCCTCAAAGCCCGCCCCCTTCCGTTCCGTTCCTCCTTCGTGCTCTGACCTGGAAGGCGCTCACGAACAACGCATGTAGCTGCGACGAATGAACCTCGACAGCGCCGGCTCCCCCTTCATGCCCTCCCCATCTCTAGCTCCCAGGTAAAGGCTATCCTGGTGGATCGCAGGGGAGGTGGGAGGAACAAAAATCGGGGCCCCTCACTTGATCGTGCACGGCAGCTCGAGGTGCATCGAACCAGGTCGTCATCGAAACCGCAAATGAGCCGGAGGGGAAAAGCCCATTCCCTCTGAGCCCTTCCCCATCCACGGGGTGGTCCTTGGGGGCGGGTCGTTTGAATGGGTAGCTCCCAGACGTGATTGTCAATAACAAAGTAAATCATACAGGGATGTCGAGTAGCTGGATGGTGACGGAGAACAAACACGTTTCCCCTGCCAACACCGCACATCGAGTGCAGGCAACGCCGCCTACACTAG